CCTACCCACTGAGCGTGGAACCTACCAACTATGAGTGGAACCTACCCACTGAGCGTGGAACCTACCCACTATGAGTGGAACCTACCCACTGAGCGTGGAACCTACCCACTGAGTGTGGAACCTACCCACTAAGCGTGGAACCTAAGCACTAAGCGTGGAACCTACCCACTTGAGTGGAACCTACCCACTATGAGTGGAACCTACCCACCATGAGTGGAACCTACCAAGTGAGCGTGGAACCTACCCACTGAGCGTGGAACCTACCCACTAAGCGTGGAACCTAAGCACTAAGCGTGGAACCTACCCACTGAGAGGAACCTACCCACTATGAGTGGAACCTACCCACTGAGCGTGGAACCTACCCATCGAAGCGGACCGTCCCCGTCTGCTCCGTGTCCACCCTGTAATGGTCCAGCAGCAGACGCACCACCTTGTCGTGTCCGTTCCGCGCAGCGATGATCAGCGGAGTGGATCTCTGACCGGCCACCTGGGTGACGTAGCTCAGCAGGTAGCGGCTCTCCGCCTCGGAGTGGTTGAGCAGCAGCGCGGCCAGCGTCAGGACCCGACCCTCGCTGGCCGCCTTGTAAACGTAGCCGGCCAAAGACTCCATGGGAGCCCAGCAGACAGCGCCTCTCGCTCAGCTCTCGCCCCTGGGGTACAGTCCACCCAGGGAAGCCGCCTCCCATTAAAAAGTCCAGGTGAAGCACTGTGCCGGCATGGAGGGGCTCAGTCCTTCTGCTTCTGATGGGAACCTGTTAGCTAACCGCTTAGCTCATCTACCCTCGACCAGCTGATTAAAAGCACCCTTCTGGTTTTAAATGGCTTCCTGCTTTCTGCCCAGAAGCCATGATCCGTGCTCAAAACACAAGCAAGAACCAAAAAGTTAAAAAAGTAAAACTGCCACTTTCACCTTTACGACTATCTGATTTACCGGAAGTAAAGGTCCGGCACAAAAATACATCCGAGTGAAATGACGGTCTGCGCGTGATAGTTCCGAGGGGAAGAGGAGTGTCCGCCGGTGATGAACCAGCAACAGCGACCAGCGTAGATGCATGCATGGAGCCCATAGAGCAGGGGGAACCGAATAAAAAAACAGTTAACGTCCGGAGACATTTTTAATCCTGATCTGTATATGCCATTTATATGTATATATATCTATATA